CCCCAAAACCCCAAAACCCCAAAACCCCAAAACCCCAAAAGCTATTTCTGGAAGGAAAAGAACCTAAAATTATAATGGGTAAAAAAGAACCCATTTGCTCCAAAGCTGAATGACAATATTCAGCTAGAAATTATTCAAAATTAAAGACTGAAAAAGAAGAGTAAATATATCTGCCATACAAAGCTCTCTCGAGCTATTTTTAAGAGCTTATCAACTACTTTATGTAAAATATCATTTGAGTTTGAAAATGTTGGAATGCTCTGATAAACTGTTCCCTCAGCACATCTATAATTTTTAAAAAGGAGCACACCACATCTCTTTTCACATTCAAAAAGTCTTCTCTCTTTCCATTCAACACTAAAACTCTACTTATACACCATTTTATTGTTTCCTATCTATCGCATATAATCTTACATTATCACATTATCTTCAGAACAAACGCTCAAAAGTCTATTCAAAACAATGTTTCAGATATCCATTATCCCTATGTTAAGGGTGGTTTAGAGAGTTAGTGGGGAAGTGAGTTTGTGCTTGTTGGTTAGGCAGAGGGAGGTTATGGATATTTAGGTTGGTAATTTAATTGTAGGAAATTTCGCAGAATTTATTAGTTATTGGTTTTACTGCTCTGTGCTTGCGAGTTTAGAAAAATTATAAAGATAGTGAAATCCTAATCACATTATCTATTGGATTTCAAAGTGAGAGCTTTGTTGACCCAATTATCTGGCAGATTTTGTATGGATGAGGGTAACCTTACTAGCTTTTTTAAATTCATGCAATTTTCAAGAATAATTGAATCTGATAAGTAAGATTCGAATAGAGCTTAGGAAGCATGCAAGAGGCTGCTTTAGATCTCCAGCATTTCCCTTTATACTATTAGTTTAAAAGGATACTTGCTGATTTCGGTGACAGATTCTGTTTTTGTATAATTTCTTTATATATTTATCTATCTTTTACAAAAGAGTTTATTTCTGACAGAACTGTCCTAAATTCTTATAGATACCTCCACAACAACAAAATAGCCAAGTAAGCCTTTTCCTGATCCCTCTAGTTCCAAACTTCAGATTTCCCTCTACCACAAAAACAAGAGTAAAAGCCCACATTTCAAATTTTGTTCTAAATTTTTCAAATTTAGTTAAAATAATTTTTACTTTCATATTCACAGAGACACGCCAATTTTAGGAATTTCAGCCAAATTAGACAATTTCAGCGTGCTTCTTACATGATTTAGCAGTTTTTGGAAGCATTTTGAACTTGTTCTTCTAAAATTTATGATATTTGAAAATCTGAAAACTTGGCTGTTTTCAAAAAATTTCAAGACTAACTCAAATTATTAGATGGTGTCTTATCTGACCTTGTATAAATAGGAAGAAGAGAAGATCCAAGAAGAACAGAACTAAGAAGAAAAGAGCCAAGAAGAGACATCTTTAAGGCCAAGAGGAAATCGCATGACAAGCATTGACTGTCTAGGGCTGGCATAAAAGATTTCACCGAAGACCAACATATTTTCGAGAAAAAAGATATGCCTAGCACAGAGCCAAAGCTTGATCTCTTAGATAACCCTGAGAAAGAGCCAAGTCCTCCTCCCATCGATACTCCTCCACTAATTTCTGAATTGGCATTGAATCTTTCATCTAAGACTTTACTGAATACTCAAAATCAGTCTCCGAAGAAAACACTTGTAAAAGATCCATCTAAATTCCCTGAAGGAAGTCCAGAAGGTAAGCTTCTCATTTAAAAGATCTCTCTTGATTCTTCTATTGCTCAAGTTAGATCTTTCGCAATAAAAGCTTTTTTGCTTAAAAACAAAATTTTCAGGCTATTTTTGACCTTCTCTCGATCCTTACAACTCTTGAAATAGCACCCAGAAGCAAAAGAAACAGAAGACAAAGGATGAACTTAGCGGAACTCTTTGAGGAAGAACAATCAGACGAGGACCTTAAAGAAACAGAAGAGAATGTGGTAGAATCTGACTTTGACAATGTAATGATAGTCTGAAATTTTTAGTCTAACTCATTTAAATTTTGAATTTAGCTATGAGATTTGATATAGGTTAAATTTAGTAAAATTATATATCTTTTACATTGGAAAGAGGAGATCTTTTTTAGGACTCTGTTATTATCGGTTTTGTTAATTTAGCTGAGACTCTTTTCTTTTAGGTATATGTGGAAGTAGAGAAATTTGAGTTTTTTAAAAGAGGTAGTTAAAACTTTTTCCAATTTTAGTTCCTATTAAAGATATTTAAAAAATTCAAAATTTCTTTAAACACCTTAGCCGTCACAAAATCCTTTGATAATCCTGCGCTATCAACCATGTTTAAACTTATTTTAGAAGAGTGTAGCTAGTCCAGACAGCGAAGAAGAATTAGTTGACTCAGAATCTGACTACTCAGAAGAAGATACCCCTAAAAGTAAGAACCCTTAAAACTTCATCTAAAACTCACACTGCCTTACTACAGAGAAAGGAAGGAAGCAGAAGAGAGTCCCACTTATCAAGAGCAGAAGGTAAATAACTGAACTCTAACTGGCCTTCTAGAAGAAAGAAAATTTACCAAAAAGATACAGCAAGAATGCAAACAAGATAATCCCAGCACAAAGATGAAAACAATCAAGCTAAGGAAGAAGAGCAAAGCCAGGGACTAGTAAAGAGTATTTGCAGATCAAAGAAAGATAGCTGGAAGGCACCTACAAGAGAGATCCCTTAGAAGCAAATAATTATGTAAGGAACCTACATTATAAGCTCTAGGAAAGACCAATTTTAAGCAAACTTAAGCAAGAAGTTAAATGCTGTATTTGTAAAGAGAAAGCTATATTTGATGACGAGAATGTGATCATGAACTACAAGTGTATCTTCCTTGGATATCATAAATTATAGGATCAAAAAAGTATCATTGTTATCATAAAAGCTGCCTTAAAAGCAATGTTACTGTAAGCTTAGAGTAAAAGTAGGATCTCCTGGTATAGAATGCCCTCTTGTCAAGCGTAAATCCAACTAAGTGAGATGCTACTAATTGTAAGGCCTATCTTGGTAAGCTTTCTTCTCTTAAGCAGTCTATAGATAGAACAAGTAAGCTCTGCAAAGTAAAACTTTAGCTGTTAGGAATATCCTTGATCCTGAGCATGTCCCTCTCCATTCGATAGTCCAAATGAATCAAAGCTTGTATCAAAGTAGCATCCTGTACTATTGCTCCAAATGTGATATAATTAAGGTAATCAGAAAGACCAGAAGACTACCAAACCTGACAAACATCAGCATTGATTGTCATAAAGAAATGTATGATCTAAGAGACGTCTGGAGAATGAACAATGACAAGAACCTGACTGAAAATTCAAGAAATTACAAGTCAATAGCTGAGCAGTACCTTCCTAGCCCGAACAACTCGCCAAAATTTTCAGGCGAAGAACTCCCTAACTTTCTCAAGAAAGCAATGAAAAAGGTTGAGACTACCTGCGTCAAGTGCACCAATTGCAATAAATGGAAAATTAAAGATTATCGTCTAAGATGCAATTGCAAAATGCAAACGAAGATGTAAGTATTTACTAAAACTTTAGGATTTTACATCCATATTTGGACTAAAAGAGTCAAAAAGTTCTAAGGAACACCCCAAGGGAGCTCAGAGACACTCTATGTCTCTAGATGAGCCCCCTGTTCCCTCCACTGGGAACAAAGACATTTAATAACTTTTTACGTATTTACCGCCAAGACAATTTGGATTCTTAAGAAAGGGGTTTTGGGGTTTTGGGGTTTTGGGG